TCCGCCCCCCCCACCCCCCCCCGGCTTTGTCTAAACTGCAAGCTTTGCTGCTTGCTCCCTCCCCTTTACCTCCCGCTTTTCTGAATTGGAGACGCTGCTGCTTCTTTGAGCTCCACTGCAGTTAGGGTCGTAGCAAAAGCAACAACAACAACGACAAAAACAGTGACACAACAACAAAAGCAGCAACGTCAACGACGACAAGGACACTAGTAACAATAACAACAATATGAACAATCATAATAATGGAACTAACAACAACAATAACGGCTGAGAATAACGAGAACAGCAACAACGACCACAACGATAACAATGGCAGCAACAAAAGTAATAGTAATAACAAATATTACATATGATGCGGGAGCCAAAAAGTATCAGTAAATCTAATAAATCATTAAATAAGATGGTAGAATAATAATACGGCAATACATTATAACAGAAAAATAATAAGGCTAACAACGGCCACAAGAAGAATAATACCAATATCAATAATAGCAGCAACAACAGCCCCCATACCGCCCCCAAAACTTCAAGACCAGACCCCGCAAACAGCAAGCACGACTTTGGGCAACCAAAAAAATAAATGCCACTTCGGATGTTACAGGTCAGGAATTCCTGGGAATTTACAGCCTTTGGCGGTTTTTGGGTTTAGGACTAGCTCTTTTCGGCGGGGGCAGATTTATATGGTTTGGATCGTTTTTTTGTTGCTGGGCCACTATGGAATTATTGTTGTGTTGAGGGTCTAACCTCATGTGGGGATGATGAGAGTGCCGGAGAGTAAAAGATGACCATGCCGTAATGATGATAATGATGATGATAATGATGACGATGATCATGATGATGGTGGCGAAATGGACGTTATCAGTCCCCCCCACCCCCACCCCCAAGACCCCAAGATCAGCTCCCGAAAATAGCAAAAACGCGCGACAGTAATCCATGCGCTAGCTAAAACATGCTGTACCCCGGCACCCTCTGGATGAGCAAGAATCGAGCTATGTTGTTCAAATTGCAAAAGGCAAAGAGCTTGCATGAGTAGACACGCTTGTAGATGTACATTTAGACAGAAGTCGGCACTTCAGACGTCGCACAACCTATAAATTACATATAATTTGCTCGAAAAGAAGGAAAATAAAAAGAATTCCGGAAAAAAAAATACGTAAATCAGTTCTGCAGCCATATATAAATAGAGAGGCACAGAGAGAGAGATATATATAAAGAAGAGAGAGACCTCTAGAAAGAGATATATAGAGAGAGAGATAGAGAAAGAAAAAGAGAGATTCAGAGAAAGACACATAGAGAGACGCGGAGAGAGAGATAGAGAGAGAGATATATAGCGAGACAGAACGAGATATAGAGAGAGACCCAGAGAGAGATAAAGAGAGGCAGAAAGAGAAATACAGAGAGAATTTCAGAGAGAGACGCATAGAGAGAGACTGATCCAGAGATATACAGAGAGATATAAAGAGATACAGAAAGAGAGAGAGCGAGAGAGAGACAGACAGAGAAAGACACAAAAAAAAACGCAGAAAGGGAGAATGAGAGAGACGGTACGCTAAGGATTTCTCTATGAATTGGTTAGTAGGGACCAATTTTCTATTGATTTCCCTATGATTTGGATAGTCGGGACCATTTTCATGAAATTTCTTGGAAATTTCATAAAAATTGCAATCTTTTTCATGAAATTCTAGGATTTTTTTTCATAATATTTCTATGAAATTTTCAGAAATTTCATAGAAATGCTATCAGGGCCTCGTATAAAAAGAAATGGAGCAAAAACCTATGAAAATTTCCGAGAATTTCATAGAAAGATTGGCGACCACGCGCACAGACGTAATATTACGGATTCGCGATTTCGTTTATAGAATAACTAATTCTAATCTAAATATTTTGCTTGGGTAATCTGGAATTTATATAAGCTTTGATCTTTTATAATACGATATATAGTCATATACGAATTCGTATTATATACAAAATTTCAAATCATTCAAGAGAAGAAATATAGGATTTCGGAAAATTTTTGAAATATAGAATAGTCTTTAAAAAGGAATTTTCGATAGAATGGAATAATTAGAAAATATTGAATTGATCTCCATATTCACGTGTGTCTGTAGCTTCGTCTCAAAGTGAATGAGGCCCTTGCCCGTGGTAGCTGGCGGGGCTTCCGGTGGGATTGCGGGAATTCTTCTGAGTTTGGCGAGGGGCTTCTTGGTTTCTTCAGGGTCAGTGGTTGTGCCCCCGGATCCTGAGGTCCTCCTCGCGAGTTCCTTCGATTTCCCTCCTCTCCTTCCTCCATCCGCGCAGTTCCATTGGACTTCTTTTGCTGTGGGCTTGTGTGTCGGGCTACTTCTATGGCCTCTCCTGGATTTGGCCTTCTTAGCCCGGTTGTTCCTTGTCCGTGGTGCAAGGCGGGTTTTGAGAGTGCCAGCTGCTGAGCTTTACCGGAATCTTGAATGAGTGTCAGGCAGCTCGAGTTGCAGGCTCTGCGTCGTGAACTTGGTGAGGTGCGAGGGCTGCTCGCCCGCTTGGAGGCCAGGGTGCAGGCCTTGGAGGAGGAAGCCGCCTTTGAGTTAGTCGATTCCTTGCCCGACCCCTCCGCGGGTCCACAGACGCCTTCCCCCGGATCAGGGGGAGGATATCTCTCCCGGGGGGATATATCTCCCCCTCGGCTCGGTTCAGGAGAAGTAAATCTCTCCCGGGCCTCCTCTCCTCCTTCCTTGCCTGGTTCAGGAGGAATTAATCTCTCCTAGGCTCGCATTCCTCTTGATCGGCCAGGATCAGGGGGAGTGGATCTCTCCCTGACCGTCTCTCTCGGAGAGGAAGTCTTCGTAGACCATTCTTCTTCTTCGATTCCTGGACCGCCTACCTCCTTGTTTCGCACGGCAGTGGCGGAGGAAGTGGGACGATTCCTCAGGCGAGCCCTGGACGGGAGGTTCCTTCAGAGCTCAGGGCGAGGAGCCTTGAATTTGAGCTCCAAATTCTATATCGTGCTTGCCGACTTCGAGGGTGGGCGCTTCGAGGATCCTTGCGTCTTCTCAATTTTCCATCGTACGAAGGCTCTCTGTATTCGTGGGCCAGTCAAAGGCCAATCCATCTTCGTCGGTCTCCCGAGTCAGACTGAGGTCGCTATGGCGTTGCGGACGGCAGGGTTAGCCTGGCCGTCGGATGGCTTGGATGGCCAGCCAGACCGGGTCTGAGGACGGGGCCGACCGTGGGGAGCCTCTTGCCCTTCAGAGGCTTCGTGACCACTCCTTGGAGGGCGTTACTCCACAGATTGGAGAGCTCCGGATTCCTACTGAAGGGGCTCCCGAGGTGTCGTGCGCTATCGTTATCATTGTTGAGATTGAAGACTCTTTCTTGGTGGCGGTCCCGCAGACGGCATGGCATCGTACGGCGGGGCGTCGCTATTTTCCCCGGATCGTGTTGGCTCGACCGGTGCCGAAGCCGCCGCAGGGGCGAGTGTCCCCGAGCACCTTTCGCTCGAGCTTTGCCGGCACGGCCTTCAGCGGGGCCTCTGGGCTCGTCTTCTCTCCCCGATGCAAGCCTACCTCCGTGAGCGAGGCGAGCTCCCGGATGATCAGGGTATGCCGGATGAGATATACACTTCTCGTCTTTGGCGAAGCGAGTCGCAGCCTAGCCATTGGCCGGCAAGTTTGGGTGAAACGTAAGAAGCTGTACTTACGGACGAGTAGTAGCACTGTACAAGTCGACTCGCGTTCTCGCTCTTACTGACGAGTCTACCAAGGGCTTTCCACTTGGTACTAACCTCTATGCCACTCATCTTTGTACAGCTTTCAGGTGCCTGCAGTCCTTTGTCTGCTCCCCTTTCTGGTAGCACCAGACTGTGCGGTAGCCTGGTCTCACCAGAGGGAATTTTAAAAACTGGTAACACCAGGGACCCTGTATGTCCTGGTAGCACCAAAGCATGCAGCCTTTGCCCCGTGCTGGTTACCTCTACATAACCGTCAGGCACCCGTTGCTTACCCCGTCTGAATTGCCACCAGCGGGGTGTCAAAACTACGTCCTTTTAACCAGTCACACAGACCTCTCGTGGTAGGTACCTTTACATGTGGATACTGGCCTCGCTTGCACTGTTCTTGCCTAACAGCAAGCGGAAAACGGCAAAAACACTGAAGCCAGAGGAGACAACTACTTGGGGCAGAAAGGCCGACACACCCCCGGCTCACTCCCAACTTCTTACCTCTACTCGGGTCCGGGTTCTTACGTTTTCCCTTCGTGCAGGAGTCGTCTTGGACTCTCTGCGACCCAGTGAGGAGAGCGATGAGCCCGAAACTTAAGTGAGCCAGTCTTCCGCGGCAAGCTCCCTAACAACAACATTGCACATGCGCCAGAACATGCTGCAATTCTCCCACGCTTGAGTACCCCAAGGCACTCTTTTGACCACAAGGGCGAGAACACACCTTGCACCGGGACTTCACATGAGGCCAAAAGACTTGACCCAAGAGAGAGTCTGAGGCCGGGCTAAGCCTTCAGACTCCTCACGGCAGATACCTGTGCAGGACTAGACACAGGTGGGTTTCCTCCCTTCTCTCTATCCTTGGTACTGGCAAACAACACCAAGGCGCCCAAACCAACTTTTCTAAGAGGGGGAAACGAACCAACTAAAACACACCTGCCAACTCACAGCCCGGAAGGAGGGCAGGGGATGAGTGTAGCCAAACTCATCTGTCACCAGGTAAACACCTGGTAGTAGTCTTTGCTTGTTGTGGCAACTATGTCGTGAGCAGGCAGTTAACTAGGGCGGGGCTTGGGCCTGCCCGGCCTTGTCCGCGCAACTGCCCAAGGCTAAGTGACAGTCAGGTGGTCCCGGCGTTCTCGCTCTTACTAACAGGGACCAAGTACCCATGCCGGTGCCAGCGCTAGGCCCTCCGTTGCTTAACCTCACAAAGCCTTCAGCAGGCGGAGACACAGTTTTTCCACTCTCGGCTCTGGCAAACATTCCTAAGCTTCCTAAACCCTCAAACCTCAGAGGCTGCAGTGAAGTGGCCGGCAATGCTTGCTACTGAACAGACCATGCTGACACTGGTGCCCACCAGGTCTGTGAACAAAGCCTGCATGAAAACAAGAAGGTCCAGCAACAGTAGTCGACAGCCTCACAAAAGGCGGCACCTCAGGAAAGGACGTGGCCACCAGTCAACTCTCGACACCAAAGACTACTGCCACTCTAGCGCCGTGGCAAAGCAATCTTGGTTCAAAACTGTTGCTCAGGGGAAAACAGCACTGCTAAGGCTATAAAACCAGTGCGAAAATCCTCAGCCTTCTTTGGGACACCAAGCCGGCGCTTGGTAGCTACCAGCACCGCCCTTTGAAGGCTGAGCTCAAGATGACTGTGATAAAGCATCACACATCTTGAGAGCACCACGATTGGACTTGTGGATTTTGACAGTACCTCGGGGCTGACCGTTGTTTGACGGATAGAACGGCGGCCGGAGCCTTGAATTAGGCTCCACCGATGGTCCTGGACAGCTCTGAGCGACGGCTCACTGTTGTCGTGGAACGGTCGCTGAGGACCCGTAGATGATGCTGAACGGCTAACGGCTAAGCAGGTAAAACTGTGCGCCGCAGCTAGTTTTGTTCTCCTTAATTAGGTTTGTCTGACCGCTGTTGTTTTTGTTTGATGGTTTGATTGTTTGTAGGGACCGAGTGCTACAACTGCAGTCGACGAGGCCCGCACACGCCAAAAGCGAGCTCGGGCCAACAGCACGACCCACCAGGCAGCTCCAACAGCCTCCACCTGTGAAAAGTTTGCTCCTTTTAGTTGTGCCCTTGAGTACCGACATGCTTGTTTTGCGCATGAGAAAGGGTTTCATCCTTTTTGCCTTGAACTGTTTTGTTTTGGAAGCTTGAACAGGCATTTGCATGGCTAACACATGTTTTGGCATGTTTGCAGTTGCGTTGAAGACCATGATGAGCGTTTACAGCACTAGAGATGCTTTTGGGCATCCTTGAAGAAGTGCGTGTTGCTCTGACTGCACTGTTGCTGTTTTCCGCCGACCCTCGCTTCGCTCGTGCCGGTAGGAACAGGCCAAGGGACAGAGTGGCTGTGCACTGCTGTTTGAGTGAGTACAGAAGTCCTGAGAAGTGTTAGGACAGTTGCATGTCATTCCTCCTTTGTTTAGCAAAGTTGAGACGGAATTTGCTGCGCGAGACTCCGCAAGAGACCTTGCTGAACACTTCGGTGTTTGGCTCAAGCGTGGAGTGAAAAGAGACTTGCTCTGCGTTTTTCACATGGTAGCGGAGCGCTGAGTGCGTTCCTAGTACAGCCATGGCAGACGTTCCTGTGCCGGAGACCACTGCAGAAGAAGAGTTCGAGCTTTTTGGTCCAGGACCAGCTGCGGCAGCGCATGAAGCGGCTGCTCAGCAGGGAGCGAATCCGTTTGCTCCTGTCCATGGTCCGGCTCCTGCTCCTACGCAAGCACAGCCTTCAGAACCAGCGGCGGGTTCGCCGACTGGTACTACTGTGCCTCCTGTGCAAAGTCCAAAGGCGTCGGCTCCACCTGTTCAGAGTCCGAAGGCTGCTGCTCCGAGTAGCAGCTCTGGTTCTGCAGGTTTTACGCCTGAGCAGATGCCTGGATTCATGATGGAATTGCTTCGTCAGCAGAGAGAGATGATGGCAATGAACCAGCAGCTCGTTGCGACGATGCTCCGGAGAATGGATCTGGAGGAAGAGAGAAGGAACAAAGCGGAAGAGAAAGTTCTTGAGGCAGCTGAAGCGGCCAAGCAGGCAGCAGAGGCAGCTAAGACTCGGGACCCCTTCCAGCCGAGCACTGCTCCCGCGAGCAGTTCTGCCGCTAGTTCGGCAGCTCCGGCAGTTCCGTCTCCCTCCGGGTACTCTGGTGCTGGAGGCCGTGCAGAGAAGTATCTGCCGAACCTTCCGGTGATAGACCATCAAGGCATGGGGAAAGGGCGCATGAAGGAGGTAGAGACTTGGCACTCCTTTATGGAGACGCTGAGTTCCTGGCTTGCCCTGCAGGAAGAAGCGTTTGTTCGGGAACTGCAGCTTTGTATCCCTGTGAAGAAGGAGATTGTGCAAGCTGACTTGAATCCCGAGACTGCCGCACGTAGCTCCAAGCTGTTCTACTACCTGACGCAGTCCCTCGCCAAGTGGGAGCGGGGAAGCGAGCTCTTGAGGTCCTGCTCGAAGAGGCAGGGGCAGAGCGCCTGCGGCTACGAGGTGATTAGAACGATTACCTCTCAGTACCGTGTCGCGGATGGAAGCTGTCTTCGTGAGAGAACAGGCTTTGAAGTTGTACCAGCACGTTGGGCATTTGAAGAGGCCCACCGACTTGATTCGACATCTTGAGGATTCGTTTTCGAAGTCTGAAGCGAAGCTGAGCAACTTTCCTGAGCTTCTGCTGTCTGAGGCTGATCGCTGCTCTGTCCTGTTACAGAGCTTGGGTGCAGAAGTACGTCAGTACGTGGTACTGCACGGGTCCAGCTCGAACTGGGAAGCTCTTCGAAGAACGCTGACTTACTACGAGGAGCAGCTGCGACTGTGTGAGGCCCCTGGGTCTTCGGGCCGAGCCTTGCAGGAGAAGCTTTGCGACTACTGCGGGAAGAAGGGACACACAGCCGACAAGTGTTGGCAGCGCCAAAAGGAAGAACGTGAACGCGGTGGTGCTCCGAAGGGCAAAGAGAAAGGAGACAAAGGAAAGCCGAAAGGCAAAGGCGACCAGACTCCCAAGGGATCTGGCACACCCCGTGGTTCCGAGAAGGGCAAGGGCGACAAAGGAAAAGGCGACAAAGGAAAGGACAAAGGCAAGAAGCAGAAGAAGAAGAAGGGACAGCCTGGAAAGGGACGCTCCTTGACAGAGCCGGAGTCCGAGGCCGAGTCGGGAGGAAGCGCCACAGTGATGGCGATGAGGTTTTCCTGTCCTGGGCGTGGTTCTTCGGAGCCCTCTTCTTCGGAACGCCGTGTTCTGAGACAGCCTGAGAAGCCTGAGTTGTCCGCCCTTGTAGTTCCGAAGCCGGGTTCAGGACCCGAAGGGTCGCCTGGGTCTGAGAGTCGAGGTTCTGAGTCTATGGGCTCCTTAGGATCCCGTATGTTGAAGTACGGCGACGTAGCTCATGTCTGCAAGGCCCTCGAGACTACTCCTGGGGACCTGTGGCTAGTTGATAGTGGAGCCACCTGCCACATTGTTTCTGACAAACATCTCTCAGGATTTCGTGTTGTCAAGAAGTACGACCGAACGGCCAATCTGTTCAATGCCTCGGGTGGTGCGATCGTTGTGTCGGGGGTTGTCGACCTTGAGGTTCATTTTGGTGATGTTTTCCTGAGGTTGGAAGAGGTCCTGGTGGCGGATGTTGGGTTCAACGTTGTTTCGCCTTGGACCGGGTCGGAACGGGGCTGGAAAACCTATCTAGCCAAATCGGGATCACGATTGTACAAAGGAAACGGAAAGAAGAGCATCAAGCTGATGGGCGCTTCGCGTGCCTGGTGGGCTCTGAGCGGGAGGTCCAAGGGCCGGGGGAAAGAGAATTCTTCCAGACGCCCCCCGAAAGGGATCGAGGACATGGAGATAGATGCCTTGAAGGACCGTGACCTGCTAGGATCGAGCAAGGAGTCCACCGCAGGACCCCAGAAGCCTGGAGAAGGAATCCTGAAGAAAGGAAGAAAGACTTCGGAAGAAGACGAGTCTGGCCGCCACGCTTTGGCTGCCACTCCTTTTGGGTTTCTGCTTCGGGGTCTTACGGCGGAAGTTGCTCCAAGA